AATGCAATTTCAGAATGCAGATTAATGACATAGAACTGGATTATATGGCATTATAGACTCACCAGGACACTCCTGGAGGAGCCAAACAAGGGCCTTGGTGAAGGAATCCCCCCAACCCTCTCCAAAGCCCTTGGTTGGCTTTTCAAAGGACCAGGAATCAAGAAGGGAAGTCCCTAACTCCCTAACTGAGAACCACAACTCTGGCAAAATGAAACAGTTTCTTTCTTTTTTAAAAGTCTTTCTTTTCTCACCATTTTTCCCTTTGGTATTTTATTTCTGGCCATGTGTTCAGGTACTACTTTTTTCCCTCTATGAGACAGCCTCTCTCCGATATAGCCTAATTTAGCTAAAAGTCCTTCTACACAGGCTCAAAATTTGTGATAGCTTTCAAATTCCAAACGACGCCTCAGGCTAATCTGGATTAACACAGAGTAAACCTTGATTTTCAAGTTTAAAGTAAATGTATTATTTATTTATTTATTTATGACGTTTATATGCCACCCTTCTCATCCCGGAGGAGACTCAGAGCGGCTTACAAGGTATATATACATACAATATATTATATTATTAGCATAGTACAATATCAGATTTAAATATTGCTATATTGTACTATACCAATTATATTGTAATATTATTAGTAATATTACATGTAATATAAATATATAATTATAATATCATATTATTATTAATAGTAGTATTATATTGCATTACCTTATAATATTATAAATATTATATGTATATACAATATATTATATTACATTATATTATACTATATTATATTATTAGAACAGCACAGGAGACAAGGTCGAACTGTCCCCTGGTCCCCCCTCTCTTCACTCCGGCCCAGAGCGGCAGTTGGTGCTGGGGGGAGGGATCTCTCTTTTTCTCTTTCAATCCCCTTTCCTCCTCTTTTTCTTTTACTACATCCATCAAAAATATTTTAAATATTTAAAAACATAATAATAACACATTTTATTTGAAAATTATTATTCTTAAAAGTCATTAAAAGCTGGAGAAATGTAAAGGTTTCCCCCTGATATTAAGTCTAATCGTGTCCAACTCTAGGGGGTGGTGCTCATCATTTCTAAGCCAAAGAGCTGGTGTTGTCCATAGATACCTGCAAGGTTATGTGGCCAACATGATTACATGGAGCACTGTTACCTTTCTGCCAAGGGGGGTACCTATTGATCTACTCACATTTGCATGTTTTCGAACTACTAGGCTGACAGAAGCTGGGCCTAACAGCAGGAAGTCACCCTGCTCCCTGGATTCAAACCACCAACCTGTGCTCAATGGTTTAACCTACTGCACCATGAAGTTTACCCTGGGCAAAAAAAAAAAATGCTTGCAAAGATCTGGATCTTTCAGTGAGGTCCAGATATTTGCAGTTATTGGACCTGTGAGGATTGACTCTTGGGACGGACTTCTGTAATCCTGAGGATCAATCCCCACTGCTATTCTGTTTCCCACCTCCTCCTCCTCCTCCTCCTCCTCCTCCTCCTCCTCCTCCTCCTCCTTCTTCTTTTTCTTTGGACTCCAGGATCCTGAAGAATCAGGATGGCAGTGCCAGCCTTCCCTCCCATCCCCTTTTCTCCCTTAATCTTACCTTCAGATTAAACTCCTGTCGTATTTTTGATCGACCTGAGATGACATCTAGCCACCCCTCAATACACACACACACACACACACACACACACACACACACTAAAATTGGGGAATTTCAGCCTGCTGTGTGATCTAAATCCTGCAAGGAACTGGGATTTTACATTCTGGTTCTTTTCAGGATTTAGGCTTGTCTGGAAGGGCCCTCTATCACCTAGATTCTGTTTTAAAAACTGTTCAAAATGCAGACTTGATTATACTACTCGTAAACCAGCTTCAAACCTCTTTCTCCATTTGTTTAACATTCTGATGAAGAATTCTGAAGAAGTCAAAAATGTTTTTGACTTTTTGGGATGTTTAGATTGGCCCTGCACTTAATTGGATTTCAGTCGTCGTCGTCCGTCCCCCCCCCCCCCCTTACTTTTCTTCCGGTTAAGTTTGGGACTTTGTAAAGCACCATGTGAAGAGCTGTGTATCTTGTAGTCTGTGAGAAAGAAATAACCTCTGCTATGCTCTGTTAGGGTAAGTGCCATTGTTTAAAGATTCACCAAGGCAGTTTTTTCCCTTGCTGGCGCTGACCAGCTACTGCTGAACAAGAGAAATAAGTGCCTACAAATATTTACTAACAAATCCGTTTTTGGGGGAAAATATGTTGCCTCTATAGAGCTATTAGAGCTTGGAAAAGTTATTCTGTGCTCCCTTCATTTCTTTTAAAACCCTTATACCAGATATATCCTACCTTGTTCATGCCCAACGTTTATTTTTTAAATTTTAAACTATTACATTTGACCCGTCCATAGGTTTTTAAATCCTTGTGTGTTATTGGGTTGTTGTAGGTTTTTTCGGGCTATATGGCCATGGTCTAGAAGCATTCTCTCCTGATGGTTGCCATAGATGCAGGTGAAATGTCAGGAGAGAATGCCTCTAGACCATGGCCATATAGCCCGAAAAAACCTACAACAACCCAGTGATTCCGGCCATGAAAGCCTTCGACAATACCTTGTGTGTTATTGTTTATTGTTTATATGTGATTTATATTAACTGTATTGTATTGTATTGTATTGTTTTGTTTTTGTTTATTGCTTTCTTGTTTTTATTGATGTGTAAGCCGCTCCAAGTCCCTTGGGGAGATGGTGGCAGGGTATAAATAAAGTTATTATTATTATTATTATTATTATTATTATTATTATTATTATTATTCTCTCAGACTACAGTTTCCACAAACCCAATCTGTATTGGTCATACAGATTGGGGATTCTCGAAGTTAGAGTGCAAAAATATTTTTTTTCCTGTGGGAGACATTATTGGAAGCAAAAAGAGATACCAGACTTAGACCAATGGTTTCAGAAAGTGAGAGAGATTAAGGACATGGACAAATTAACCTTTTTGTTAAAGAAAAATTTGGGAAATCCGATTAAATACACAGTTTGGTCCAAAATAGAGGAATATGAAAAAACAAGATTTGAATAGATTTATTAAAAGACATTAATGTGTAACGGAAACGCAAGAAGAGGCAATTTGCTTTATTGAAGTGCCATGAAATGATACCCTCAATAGAGAATATTTAGGTTAAGATAAAGACAAAACCTTACTTACTTACTTACTTACTTAGGCGATCCCTCGTTGGACAAGTAAGATGGTCTTCCTTGATGACTATTTTTGTGGGTTCGTAGGTGGCTGTGGAGCCCTATTCTTGACCCGCATCTTCTCCCACAGTGAGGGCATTGGTTTCCAGGTGGAAGGCGGTCTCGGTCGGGGTTGGCTTGACGCGCCTTCCTCCTGGCACGTTTCTCTCTTTCACCCTCCACTCGTGCCTCCTCGAATTCTGCAGCACTGCTGGTCACAGCTGACCTCCAGCTGGAGCGCTCAAGGGCCAGGGCTTCCAAGTTCTCAGTGTCTATGCCAGAGTTTTTAAGGTTGGCTTTGAGCCCATCTTTAAATCTCTTTTCCTGTCCACCAACATTCCGTTTTCCATTCTTAAGTTCAGAGTAGAGCAACTGCTTTGGGAGATGGTGGTTGGGCATCCGGATAACGTGGCCGTTCCAACGGAGTTGATGGCAGAGGACCATCGCTTCAATGCTGGTGGTCTTTGCTTCTTCCAACATGCTGACATTTGTCCCGCTTGTCTTCCCAAGAGATTTGCAGGATTTTCCGGAGGCAGCGCTGATGGAATCATTCCAGGAGTTGCATGTGACATCTGTAGACAGTCCACGTTTCGCAGGCATATAGCAGGGTTGGGAGGACAATAGTTTTATAGACAAGCACCTTGGAATCCCTACGGATGTCCCGGTCCTCAAACACTCTCTGCTTCATTCGGAAAAATGCTGCACTCGCAGAGCTCAGGCAGTGTTGTATTTCGGTGTCGATGTTGACTTTGGTGGAGAGGTGGCTGCCAAGGTAGCGGAAATGGTCAACATTTTCTAATGTTACACCATTAAGCTGTATCTCTGGCATTGGGGAGGGGATGGCTGGTGACTGCTGGAACAGCACTTTGGTTTTCTCGATGTTCAGTGACAGCAAAACCACAAAGGACTAGATGGAAGTCAACAATCAACAGACCCCTTTTCTCTCTCTCTTTTTCCTTTTTTTTCTCCTTTTTTCCTTTGTGTTATATTTTTATAGGTTTTCGTACTTTCCTATTACACATTGTTCTCCTACTTTACCTGTTAAGATTTTTGTTCCCCCCTTTCCCCCCTTTTCCTTCCATTTATCCTTTATATCAATAATAAAAAATAAATTTGGAAAAAAATATGATACTAATTTTTAGTATTTTTGTTAAGAGTTTTATGTATTAAAGCACATGTGTCTAACCCAAGGCCCATGATCCGAATCTATCCCTCCATGTCATTTTATGTTGCCCGTGAGGCTTTCAGTACCAGGGCAACATAATTACTTTTATACAGGCCCATAGCCAGGATTTCGATTTTGGGGGGGGGGGGCTGAGTTTGATTCGGGGGGGGGGGGCTGAGTCTGAGTGAAAGAGGGTCTACCCTAGCAAACCTTTTGTATAGTTACCCCAATACCCCCATGCATATGGGATATATTGAGTATGGTGATCAGATCATGATATGAATAAACATAACAGTTTAAATAATGCACCAGTAAGGCCTTTTCACGAACCATCATGAAAATTTCGGGGGGGGGGGCTGAAGCCCCTCAAGCCCCCCCCCCCAGCTACATGCCTGCCTTTATACAATCACACAGTTACAAGCAGCCCTTTGCAGGCAACCATAAGGCTGGTGTGCCCCTTGTTGAAAATGATTTTGAAGTTTATTTATTCCATTCAGGGATGATGTTTTATCTGTGAGACTGATCATGCCTTTTGTTTTTGTTTTTTTCCCCTTGTGGATATGTGTTACCGTATTTTTAGTCATCCATATTATTTTTATATTCTACAGGAAAGAGCTTTACCTTGACAATCACAGTCCTTACAAATCCCCCTCAAGTCGCTACATATCACAGAGCTATAAAGGTGACAGTAGATGGACCAAGAGAACCAAGGAGTAAGTATTCATTGTCCTCTTATTAGCAAATCATTACCTGTAAATGTAGATGGATATAGAATTATATCTTGATTCGTCGATGCAGTTTTTATTGTTCATGCACCAGCTGTAGTTTTGCTCATGCAGTGTCCTAGATCCAACTCAAAGAACACTCTTTGTAATTGTGACTAATTGTTCCAGCAATCATGTTTGGGTCCCCAGTCCATCAATGGGACAGTAATACATCTTTATGACTTTATTGGGTGTTCATAGGCCATCTAAGCAAGATGATTGTTGCCTTGGATTCAGACTGTGTTTGGTGTTTGTGTGATGTAGCAACTGTGTAGTTCAGATCCCTGTCATCCATGTTAACTCTCTCTTTTGAGGGATTTCCTTAGTGTGATCAGAGTTTTTCAGAACTGTGTGGGCCCTGCTTCATAGAATGGGGAACCATCAAGGAACCTGTATTTTGTAATGGTAAATGAAGGACATTAACAAGATTTCCTGTGACCAAGATTTCTGTTCCCTGAATATATATTTTTTGTGATAAACATTCCTGTGATTCTGAAAGACCCGGGGAAGCCAAAGTCTTCCAGTTCTCTGTTGAATCAGTAATTTCAGGAAGCAAGTGTTTTACATTATACTAACAAGGTATAATGGTCAAGAGATTAAGTGTTCAGGGGTACGGTAGCCTACATTTCATATCTAGATCTCTGCTTTGGAATACAGTCCAAATATAAACAAGCCCCTGCATTATATAGTCAAATGTGCCCGAATATATCATTTTTGAAGACCTGAACAGATGTGCTCATAGTTTTCTAAGGGAAAAATCATCAAGTATGTAAAAATATACAGGAAAACATCACTGCATATTTTTGGGGAATTCTTTCTTTTTCTATAAAGACAGAAAATATTTTCTAGTCTGTTGGCTTCTGATTAGTTGTGTTATATATAAAATGAGATTTCCTTAACACAGAATACAGTTTCAACAGAGGAATGCTTTAGGCCAGTGGTTCTCAACCTGTGGGTCCCCAGATGTTTTGGCCTACAACTCCCATAAATCACAGCCAGTTAACCTGCTGTTAGGATTTCTGGGAGTTGGCCAAAACATTTGGGGTCCCATAGGTTGAGAACCACTGCTTTAGACTAAAAGCACAGCAAGATACTACAGAGACCCTATTTGAGTGGTTCTCAACCTGACTCAAAACAAAGTATGCTCCTGATAACCTAACCCGAACACATCAGTCCAAATCAGTAGTTCTCAACCTGTGGGTCCCCAGGTATTTTGGGCTACAACTCACAGAAATCCCAGCTAGTTTAGCAGCTGTTAAGGATTTCTGGAAGTTGAAGGCCAAAACATCTGGGGACCCACAAGTTGAGAACCACTGCCCTATTTCAAAATAAGTTGTTAACTTACTTAGGGGACAAACAGACCCAAATAACAGTTTCTAGCTTTATACTTCCAAGTCGCCCAGTTTTCTGTGTGACCAGGAGGGAGTCTCTCATTTGGTATCAGCCATTGATTAAGGTTCTGGGTTTGAGCCTGCCACTTTTGGACTCTCGCTTGCTGAGGTGTTCCAGCGAGTGTCTGTAGATCTTAGAAAGCTATTTCTTGATTTAAGTAGTTGACGTGCTGGCTGATATCCAAACAGGGGATGAGCTGGAGATGTAACTGTCTTGGTACTTTCACTATTGGCTGCTACTTCCCGGCGGATGTCAGGTGGTGCAATACCGGCTAAACAGTGTAATTTCTCCAGTGATGTAGGGCGCAGACACCCCATGATAATGTGGCTTGTTTCATTAAGAGCCACATTTACTGTTTTAGCGTGGTGAGATGTGTTCCACACTGGGCATGCATACTCAGCAGCAGAGTAGCATAGCGCAAGGGCAGATGTCTTCACTGTGTCTGGTTGTGATTCCCAGGTTGTGTCAGTCAGCTTTCGTATGATATTATTTCTAGCGCCCACTTTTTGCTTGATATTCAGGCAGTGTTTCTTGTAGGTCAGAGCATGGTCCAGAGTGACTCCCAGGTATTTGGGTGCGCTGCAATGTTCCATGGGATTCCTTCCCAGGTAATCCTCAGAGCTCGGAATGCTTGTCTGTTCTTGAGGTGAAAAGCACATGTCTGTGTTTTAGATGGATTTGCCCTGTAATAGGCAGTAAGAGTGCCTAGAGCTTCGGAGAGCTTCTGTTCAACCATCTCAAAGCTCCCTGCTTGAGCGGTAATGGCACGATCATCTGCATAGATGAAACTCTCTGTCCTGATAAACACACACACACAAAGATTTTTTTAAAGAAAGTAGAACAAAACACCTCTTCCACTGGATTTGAGGGTACTGTTACATTATTCAGGCAGAGGCCACTAGGGGGTGCTAGAGAGAGAAGGATAGTTAATTTTACAGGGAGGGAGTTGAAAGAGAAAAACCATTTCCCCCATTTTTGCTGGTTATTCCCCCTCCCAACTTCCCTTATCATAAACGAGGGTTTTTTTCCACAACGAGGACATGGGTGGAGGAATTAACAGGAAAATGGAGAAATTAGTAGATTGGACTATCCTTCTAGTGCCCCCTGGTGGCCTCCATCCAGATAATGGAACAGCATATTTAGAATTGCAGTAACCATCAGACTAGTGCACTGATCTCCCATGCAAATGCGGTGGTCTTCAAGCTTTTATAACAGAGACTCTTACTGTTTAGAGCAGGGGTCCACAAACCTTTTGAACAGAGGACCACGTAACAGTCTCTCAAACTATTGGAGGGCCGGATTATAATTTGAAAAAAAAAAAAGAACGAATTCCTATGAACACTTCACATATCTTATTTGTAGTGCAAAAAAACACTTTAAAACAATTTAATAATAATAATAATAATAATAATAATAATAATAATAATAAACTTTATTTATACCCCGCCACCATCTCCCCAAGGGACTCAGTGCGGCTTACATGAGGCCGAGCCCATACAATAATTAAAATTAAGAATAATTTTAATAAATATAAGCTTATTAGTATTTCAAGGGGCCTGCTTTTGGCTGATGAGATAGGATTGTTGTTGTTGTTGTTGTGTGCTCTCAAGTCGTTTCAGACTTAGGTTGACCCTGAGCGAGGGCTGGGTAAATGACCTTGGAGGGCCGTATCCGGCCCCCGGACCTTAGTTTGAGGACCTCTGGTATAGAGTAGAAAATGCCAGATTTTCAAGCTGGGTTCGGAAAAAGAAGGCACACTAGGATTATATTGCAGAAATATACTGGACAATGAAATGCATCAAAGCATTCCAGAAGAATACTCCAGACTAGGTTTTAAAGATTATAGTAACATGGATAATGAAGGTTGGAGGGAACTGTTTTGATCTATTATCAAAACAAGCATTCTGCTTGTTCTATTAATACTACAATTTTCAAGACAGCAGTTACTAATGACCAGTAGGTATTAGTGTAGTTTCTCTTCAAATAATCCTGAATCTCAAAATATAATATAAATATAACTATGTATTCTACATTACTTCCCATGAGTTTCTAATCAGAGCAGAAGAAACTTGGTGTGTTGATGGGAAAGACTCTTCTCTTGTGTGCAAATTGTAGGATTTAGGGAGCATGAAATAATGATGTCCCTCATGAAATGCTTAACAACTTTCTACATCTGGAATTAATTAGTTCCTCTACATGTACAAGTCTGCATTATTATGAATCTTTGGAGAACCTTTCTAAGGAGAAATGCAGGGGAAGAAACTATCTTGTATCTGCTGGAGTCACCAGGAACTGAGCAAGGAGGAAATGTTTCAGTAGCAAAAATGCGCATGTGTAAAACTTGGTTAGAAATAGCATATATCAGATAACATGCACTCATTTTAGAGATTGAAGGGGAAAATATGGTAATTTTTCAATATAATCTTGAAATTCTTCTTGCTACAGTGTTTTCTCATTTTCATCCAATTTTAGTGTTTGATTTTTTAGGAGATGGGGGGTTGTTTCACAGACATGTGCCTTTAAAGTGTGAAATCACACTGATATTTCCAGATACTCAAAAGCTTCACACTATTTCCTTGTGATCAGCAGTTTTGCTAGAAAGTCAGTCTGCTATTTTCAGTCAGCTGGTTAGTTGTATACAGATATCTGATGTATTAAAAGGCCACCCAAGGTCTAGACTTTACTCTGCATTTACTAAACTGCTAAGTGATCTATTTGCTGATCTGTGTGCATAAGAACGACTATCCTGGAACAGCATTTTAGGCTTTTTACATAACCAATTATTACAGTTATTTGATGATGATCCTTTAGAGTCAATCTCACATAACATGGCAGTAGGAAGAGAAGAAAGTCATGGGCTCTTATGGATCTTCCCTTTCCACAACTGATACACATGCACTAAATGCATGGCAGCTAATTGATTCTTGTCTATATCATCAAGCTTCTTGACACATCTGTAAACATTTTGCTTTGACTGGCCATAAATGGCAATGTGGGCAGATCAAAGTCCATAGTAATGGGGGATACTAGCTGCTGAATGTTGATTGCTGTAGGGCTCAGCCAGTAAGTGTATTGACACAAAATATGTGAATGGATCTAAAAATCAGTGAATCAGGGATATGGAAGTAGCATTGTCTTTGAATTAAAATACTTCTAATTAAGGAAAATAACATATATCTTTAACATAAAGGTCAGAAAGACACTCTTCTGTTATTCCCAGTAATGTAAATAGGTGTAGTTGGTCTTCAATCACCATGAAGAGCTTGTATTAGGATATTTATTTATTTATCGTGTCAGTAGCAACCAGACAATTGTATTACATTTTTAACAATTTTTTTAACAAACAGACAAAACAGAGTTTGCAAGCTTGGTAGTTGATTAAATGTCCTTTGACCAGTAGCTGGCCACTTGGAGTGCCTCTGGTGTTGCCGCAAGAAGGTCCTCCATTGTGCATGTGGCGGGGCTCAGGTTGCATTGCAGCAGGTGGTCAGTGGTTTGCTCTTCTCCACACTCGCATGTTGAGGATTCCACTTTGTAGCCCCATTTCGTGAGGTTGG